AGGGGGTGATGTTGCTGTAGTCGAACGGTGAGACGGACGTGTAGTTCAGTTTTGGGCACGCGTACGGTGCTGCAGGGATTATATATAGGTGTAGTAGTACCTCTTCGGGCTCTTGTACACCTTTTTCTTGCTACGTGTGCGTGTTCTTTAGATCCTCAGATGGCTCTAGCACTTTCGTGACCACGGGCTGAGAGTCTTTTGCTAGATTTTGGCATTTAGCAACTGACATACGGTTTAATGTGATGACAAACAAACAACCCTTGGGGTCCATTTATTTTGGTATACCTTTTCTAGGTACGTCAGCCTGTGACCACGGAAATTGACCGAGTCAAGTGCTGGATTAGTACGGAGAGATTGAGACAGAAGGAGGTACTGGATAGAGAGACCGGGATGGTTTTTGATGTGAAAACAACAACAACAACAGCAACCAAGTCGTTGTTTCAGTGTATAGGAGGCACGGGAGAACATTTTTACACCCTCCGAGTTGTTCTGTTCTGACGTGGTTGGTCGGACGTGGTTGTGCTGCAGCATATATATCGATCTATATAGATGAAAGAGTGATCATAATACTCATGGGTGCATGCGGAGCTTGCACGACTTGTGCTGGATTCCATCACCAACCAGAACGAAAGACACCGCATTTGTGCAGACCTATTGATACTGCTGTCGCCCCGGTGGTCTAGTTGGCAACCTCAAAACCTTCTAGAGGTCAGGTCAGGGGTTCGAATCCCGGCGTAAGCGAGCTTTGCTTGCAAACTGAGTCGCTCTCTCGCTTCCGCTCCTGGCCTAGTGGATAGCGGCTAGTTCGTGTGTACACAGAGGGAAGAGAGTGCTGAACTCTTCTCGCATTAAAAATCGAAGGCAAAGTAACGCAGGAGGGGAGGGTAGAGAGGAGCTCTTCTGTGTGACCACGGGTTGGAGTAAACGGCACGAGTGCCGTGAGCGCTGATTTGAAGTGAAGACAAAAAAGAAAATGTTGAAATTGGTCGCAGTCCGAGGTCAGAAGCAGGGGCAAGGGTGCAAACAGCTCAAATTAAAAGGCTCAAATTGTTGTATTCATATGTGGATATTGTTTTGTTTTGTGCTTAATTTTTGTGCCCATGACCTGACCGTTGGGCGGCATTGCTTGACTACACCACCGGTGCTGCACTACAGCTCGTGCTGCCGTTGCTGCGCCAACAGTAGCAGTGGCTTCCCCGCTTTCGTCGCAGTGTCTCCTCAACCCCTTGAGAGGGCGGCAAGGGTGACGGCGGCCTCAGTTCTTGTACCACGTTGTCAAAATCAGACAAACATGCTTGTATGCTCATCTCCAAAATTTGCACAGGCACAACGGCCTTGCCACCGGCGCTACTTCAGCTGTTACTACCGTTCCTGCACCATCAGTAGCAGTACCTTTCTTACTTTCCTTGCAATGTCTGCTGAGCCCTATAGACGGGCAGCGACGGGGACGGCTGTTGCAAGTCCATTTGGGTGTGTGTGACATCTATGAGATCGCCGCCTCTTCCGTGTGTGTGGGGGACGGGTTGGCGACATTGCTTGACTCCACCACCCGCGGAAAGCGGCGGCTCTTCCTGCCGTTGCTGCGCCATCAGTATCAGTGACGTCCCTGCTTTCCTCGCAATGTCTCTTCAATCCCTTGGAGGGGCGGGAAGGCGGCGGCGTCTGTTCTTTGTTGCACGTTGTCGTAAAAATCAGACCCCACCTGCTCTTTCTCATCGGTGTATTTTCTCCCGCCGATCCGCTCATCTCTGAAATGTGTACCCGGGCGCAACGGCACTGCCACCGGCGCTACTGCAGCTTTTTCGACCGTTCTTGCGGCACGGGTAGCGGTGACTGACCTGCTCTCTACGAAATGTCCCTGCGGCCTCACAGCCGCGTGGGAACGGGGGCGGCTACAGCAATCCCTTTTCGTTGTCAACTCGAAAAAAAACATGACACACAACGGCCAATCGTGCAGTCTTCTCCCCCGTTGACCTGACATGGCCGCCAAAAATGTTGAGACTGATCGGCCACGAACAACAAATTTCACAAGAATGGGCTGTTCGAAAGAAGCTGCCTGTGACAGAATTTGGGCCAACAAACAGGGTCAGGCGCACGGCTAACTAGTGTTCCGTCCTCCTCAATATAGATATGTTGTTGTTTTTGTTGTTGTTGTTGTCATAGTTGTTGTTGTTTTTATTGCTGTTGTTGTCTTCACATTACAACAAGTTGACAACAATATTGCAGTGCACGGACTACATGGAGGGTGATGCATACAGCGAATCTTTAGAATTGTGTCCGTTTTTTCTAGCGGATCTTCACATCTACAGTTCCGATTTATTTTCTTTCATTGTTCTGGGTTTGTAAGTGGTCTAGACTGTTTGTTGTACAGGTGCGGCAGTTGCACGTCGTCACCGTCTTGCGGCGTCACCTGTGCCACTTGCTTGTGCTCCACTCACCCTCACTTCTCAACCGAAAAGCACAATCCTGTGTTGATTGAGTACATCTTTCCTACCAATTGCCCTAACACGGTGCGGCCGATACAGGCTTTTGTTGCTGCAGCATGGAGCGCGATATTAGTGGCGAGGTTGCCATCGGCTGTTCGAGCCAGCGCAGCATCGCGTCGACCGTCAGCGACGGAATGATCGATCGCCGAGAACCTCACAGGGAGAGGATCGAGGACGACGATAGCAGCGGCGGCATCTCTGGCGACGAGGAAGCTCGTCACGACCAGCGAGCCGACTTGGCCCGCATGACGTCGAGGAGGAGCTTCGCCGTTGTTGATGGGGCCACCGCCGGGCATCATCGCCTGAGGTCTTCTTCCGGAACTGCTGCTGCCGCTGCTGCTACCCAAAGGGTTAGAAATGCCAATCCGGCAGGACAACACCGGCCTCGAAGGTCATCCATGACCGAGACGAGCGAGGTAGTCCCAGCGGACGAGCAACGACAATCCAACCAGGTGAGTGGTGGGCTCTGGCGATCGTGGTTTGGTTTACAGAAGAGACACGGTAAGGGTTGGTGTACAGAGTACAGCAAGCAGTAGGCTGCTATTTATTACTGAATCTTGGTGTCCGTTGATTTTCTTCCAACATCGATCTGTTGGGCGATGCGTTGGATCTGACGATGAATCGCGGCGACGTGGGACCAAGTAGGCACCAAATGTGCGCTCAGTCCTCGCACCTGGCACGTGATCACCACCCGTTACGGCTTTTTCCCGTCTGGCTTGCACGTAGCCGGGTTTTGTGGTTCCAGTTTCAAGTATCCCGCTGATGCAATTGCATGGACGCGTGGTTCGCCATCGCCCCGATTTTGACCGCGGTGGGAATGCCATGTTTCATCGAGGAAGAACCTCACGGTGCATGAAGCGACCCACGTAGCACGCCCTTCCCGCAAGGAGGGTGTGCTACTGCTGTAAAAGGGGCGAGGGGAGCGGGCACATCAAGCTGGAAGTAATACACAGCCAGCAGCTGTGCTGGCCGGAGACACCCCACCCACCCTCTCGAGACGGCCCATGTAAATTAGTCCACAGCGGTCCCCAGACAGAAAGATCCTGTAAGGTCAGATGGTCAAGTCAAAAGGTCCAACTGCTGTATTGGCCAAACTTCCGACCTGCAATTTGATACACTTTTCTCGGTTATGGCGAGTTGTTCTAAAAGCCGAAAGCACAGACAAACCCCGTCTCCAGGAGCGTTTCACTACGTAGATTTTTGTTTTTGTCCGGTGTCGTGTATTTTTCTCCGACCACAATCGGTTTGTTACACCTCTCGGAACTCCCCGGATGGAATATTTGCGGACACTGATTTCAACAAGACTATTATTGCAGCTGCGTCGCCGATGAGCTGGAGTATCATGTAGTTGGTCGTGTTGTGGCACCCATGGTTGATTTCGCATCCCATCGGTGTCATGGCACCGGGGTAAGGCGGTTTCGTACGGCTTGATTATTTCGGAGATTTTTTTTGTGGAAAATGACACAACTGGTCGAAAAGCGACACACCTGACACCTGGGTACACAGTCATTAACAGCAGTAAATGCACCCATATCGTTGGTCAGCGCCCAGTTCCACCCCTGTGCGTCCGACAAGGCGCAGGGTATTTTATTTTTTATTTTTGCTCCCATCATTGGACTCTGTCGTCTGCCGCTCTGGCCCCTATCCTCCACTTCTACTAGCTAGACGACCCAACCGGGGTCATATAGGAGGGGGTGGCTGGACCCCCTCCTGCGGTTCATGCCTGAGGTATCATTTTCGCGAGAAGGCTACAGCAATCCCTTCCCTCGCGACTATTTGCTACCGTGACTACCTTCATCAACAACTCTGTAGTTAGTACCCTGTTTTCGGAAATTGTTGTTGTTGTTTTTCACATCATTAGCGCTATAGTCCACAAAAAATGGGAAGCTCATGGTCTCAAAACCCGGCACAGACGACGCCGCGAGGAAACAAAACAAAAATAGGGTAAAAACCACTCGAGAAAGAAAACAACAGGTTTCGCACCGACCGGTCGAGAAAAGAGCCCTCGGAAACCGATCAAAAAAAAAAAAAGCGCCTCCCACACCCGCCCAAAAAAAAAATCAAAGGGTAACGTACCAGCACCAGGCACTACGCACCAGGGCACGGGAGTATCGGAGCAAACAGGTCAAAGAGGCGGCAGATGGGAGGACAGCTAGACGTACAAAAATGAAGGCAACAGCAAAGCGAGATCAAGGTACCCAACACAGCAGAGTAGGCAGGGAGGTCATGCAAAAAAGAAACACGTACCCTGACCTGTCGGGAAAAAAGACCCTTTCATCAATCATATCCCCCGCAGGAATCTTCCCAACTCCTTTTCCGCCCCGACCATGAATACCAAACGGCGAATCTTCCCGCCCAATAACAACCATGGCAACGGGGCNATACCTTCTTGCTGCGGCGCACCCGCCGCGAGGCGTGCGTAGTGGTGTAGTTGGGTCGGCACTGGTGCGTCAGGTACAAAGGTGCAGATGCGCGGGCCTCCAGGCCGTCGGTGTAGGCAGCAACGCCCATCTCATCCTTGTGCGCGGAGGCAGACGTCATCAGAAAGGTGGACGGGCACTATGTACACGGCCCTAGGTTTCCTAGAGGGAGCTAGCTGTACTGTCTCAGTAACCTGGTTTTGCCATGAAAGGAGGAGGGGCAGGTGGTGACGAGAGCTGATTGGGCTGGTTGACCCTTCGGCGCGAGAATTTTTAGACCAAGAACCCTAAGTGCAACGAGGGAGAAAGCGAGGAACCGACTGGGATGG